CAATGCATCTTTCACCAACACCCAATTGGCCCTTGGCATTCAACCTGATAAGCTAATAAGAAATATATATTAAAGATTAATGAGAAATATTAGAAATACAGAGATAATAAAGCAAGGAATAAAGAAATTAATAAGTTATATTAAGAATAAAAAATAAAATATTTATAAACTACTTGATTATTTCCAAATCCATGACAGTGGGAAGTAGCCATGAGACTTGGAGGTGAGTGACCCATAGTATCCAAACATGATCCAGATGCCGTATTACGTAACTGAAAAAAGTATTGTCATTGTTGATATGAAAATTACGTAGAAAATTTGTTGAGGAAATTTTAACATATGCGCTTTTGGTCAAACATACTTCTCCCCAGTGAATATTTGGTGGCAATTCTGGAAATTTATCTAACACATCATATGCTACATTATCGATGAACCATTGGAAGCTCTTACATTTCTTACGTTTTTTAAAAGCTAATTGTTCGGATATATCACCATGATCGAGCAACCGAGCCAGAGGTTCTCTGGTATAAAAGAATTCCTTGTGTTTCTCATCGAACCACGTTTCTATAACTCTTTTATAATTCTATAAAAACAATTTACTTTATAACTTCTTTTCTTTCGATAAAGATTATATATATATATAGATGTATCTATAGATGATATAACTCACAATAGTTATCAATGGTCCTTTCTTTTTTTGAGCAAGTTTACCGAATGTGTAAGGCATAAATCCTCGGTAAACATGCCCAACATGTGAGCATGGAACCCACAAAATACTTCCACCACATTGCCATATCTTAAAGGATAATTCAAAATTTTCTCCTCCCCAAACGAGTAATCCTTCATCGTATCCACCCAATGATAAAAAGTATTGTCGACTTATGGCAAATAAACCACCAGCGTGCGTAGGTGATCTGTAAGCCGTATATGAATGAAATAATACAGAAGAGAAATATCGATATAACTAAATAAGATTATATATGTAGAAACAGAAATTGTACCTGTATGGCATACTATCATGTGCACGCGTTTTGGATTCTCGCCTGGGCAATTCGTTCTCTTTATACAACATTCCCCATTCAAATATTCCTCTATACAGATGTCCTTCTTGATACACAGAACGATACTCAAAAGTTTTGTGATCAATGCCGTCTATCACAGGAACAGTCATTACGTTTCTAGAAGAAAAGGAATGTATAATTTAGAAGAAAAATATTACAAAGTTATAGGTATTATTTTATTACTTCTTATTGACAGTATATTTCAATTTTTTCTAATTACAAAAACATCAATATTCTTCCATTTCTCAATGTATTCAAATTATTTTACCTATTTTCAGCAATTGGCGCTAAAAGCGGAGGCAGCCAATTCACATTAACTTCGCAATGAGCATCTAAAAATACTATTACTTCGCCTCTGGCCTCACGTGCTCCTCGAGATCGCGTTCGTATTAAACCTTGTCTCTCGTGATTTCTAAGTAATCTAACTTTTCCTCCCCATTGTTCAATATAGGAATCTAAATCACTTTTTAAATTCTCTGGAAATAATTATATTATTTATCATATATGTTAAATATTTCCAAGTATAAATACTATAGCATTTCATGAAGGAATATACCTTTATCAGAAAAATCATCAACAAGAAGAACTTCTTCAAGTAGCTTTGATGGAGTTCGATCTATAACGCTCTGAATAGTTCGCAGTAAAACAGACCAACCTTCGTTGTGAAAAACTATAATAACACTGGTACGTGGTAGCTCTTCTGGATAGTTCCAATGCTTACATCTATATTATATAAAGAAAAACATAGAAGTTAAAAGATAGATCAGAAACTAATACTATTAGGTGTACAAGATGGAACTTACTGTGCAAGTCTGGTGTCTGGTATCGATCTCGACAATGAGATTTCATCAGAGCACACCATATTCATACCATAATCAGATTCTGATTGCTGGACATCGTTCAACTGATCATCTCTTAAAATATGTGGTTTACCACCTTCTCCAGGACCAGATCTAACTGGTACATCTCGTGGTTCATAATTTCCTAAACCTTCTATAAGCACTGGTACCTGCATAATATTAAAAAGAGATATAAAAGCTGACCAACAAAATGCATAGGTAATATAGTATAACATAGTGAATCATTACCATGTTTGCCAATATTAAATAAAGATGAAATGTTTCATCACGTTATTTGTGTCTTTTGATAAAAAGCATATTTAATATGTATAAGGATAGAAAGTATCCAAAAGATTGTCAATAAAAAATTGTTTAGCATAAATATTTATAAAATAAATTAATATTAATTTATATTAAAATAAATACTTTACCTCTCTCTTTTCACGACTTTGTGACCAATATTCTTTTATATTGTTCATATGATCGTCCGAGGAGAAATTAAGAAGAATGTATAAAACTAGCAATGTTAGAGAACTGCCAATCAATACATGGAACAAGCGGTTTCTTCTAAACTGCACAATCCTCATCTTCTCCAAATTATATATATCTAAAAATTTAAACATGTTATTTAATATTGTTTTTTTTATTTTTGGAGCTCTAACACGATATTTTTAAAAATTTTGTCAACGCTGCGTATTATTTCAAAAATAACTCAAACTGTAATTTAATTGCTATATAATGCGTTAACGCGAGACTAACCTTATCTTATTTTTAGCTAATAATTCTGATGAATAAATAAAATATACCTTTCGTCGGAAAAAAGAAACTGAGACAATTCAGAATTAGCTCAATAGCATACATTCGTCAACGTGTCAAACATCAATAATTATACATTGCAAACCTACATATTCAATTGTATCAAAACTGCAATATCTTTATTTGCATAAAAGAAGCCAACGTGTCGCCAGCTGTTGCGTACTAAAAATATGAAGATAGAGATGCATTTGCAGAGTGCAGATTTTCGCATCATCGCCATGTTTGCGCGATTTCTCGCGCAAATCATGAGGTCTGTTTTCTGTGACTGAACTAGTGTACACTTTTGGAACTTAAAATGAGATAGATATACGTTTGATACTTGTTTAAAGCGAGAAAGAGAGTACTAGAACAATCTAGTGCAGGAATTGAAAACAGACCAATAGTGGAAGAAATTTGGCTCAAATATGGCGACGAGCAGTAGCTTCGCATAATCAAAGAAATAGAAAACAAGGAACAACAGGGAACTGTAGAGTATTCATAGTCCGTTCTTATATTCAAGACCGTCTTAAGTACGGTCTTAAGATGTTTTCTAGATTCATAATCGAAAAATAAGACGATACTTGAATAAAATCTCAAGTTAAAACTTATCGAAGATAATCTGATTTCAAAACGTCTTGAACTGTCTTAAACCACAATATAACCAGTAGAGATATTCAGAGAAAAAATGCGTATTCGCGCAAGTATAGCTGCGCTTTTGTTTTGGGCCATTTCCAATGAAATGCAAGATGACAAGAACGTGCATATTAAAAATTCGTGGCGTTTTTTTAATGCCATCTAATGGGAAAAACGCCACAAACTTTTTCCCATACCTAATATTACACAGATTCAGTATGAGCAGATATCCGTGGCAAAAGAGGACAATTTAAGAGTTGCGTCATAAATATTTCTAAAAAATGAATAAAAAAAAGAAAAATTATGTTACGTGCAGTATTATACTTTTATAATTAGATAAAAACACAAATATAATATTTTTTTTTATTTTATATCTACATTTATGTAAGTAAAATTTATATTATTTTTTTTTTTACGAAAAATAACTAAATAAAAATGTTTGTTTCATAATTATTATTTAATAATAATAATTACTTAATAAATTTTATTTATTTACTAGTTCTTACTATTTTCGAATTAATTTTATTCATTAGTTAGTATTTTTGTAAAATTTTTTAATGGGATTACATTATTAAGGGACATTATATCCTTTTTCAATCTTGGATTTTTCAAACGTAATATGGCGAATGCTTACGTGACTGCAAAGCGGAGATCAAAAGATGTCGATACGAAGTGTACTACCTACCTACTGATTATATTGTGTCTTGAACCATTTTATTTTTTGACTATGAATCTAGAGGACATTTTAAAATCGATTCTACTAATGTGAAATCTCTTTGTTTCCTATGTCTTTGTTTCTCTTGTCTTTTGCTTCTTGCTTCTTCCCTCTTTACAACAGTTTTATCGACAATTGTATTTCTTGCTCTGTGTTTCTTCCGAAGTTCGTTAACTTTTATCTCAGACAACATAAAACAAAAAACCGGAAGTAGAAAAACCGGAATAAGAAGCAAAAAAACAAGATGTAAAAAAATAACAAAAAGCAAGAAACAGGAAACAAAAAACACATTGTAGAATAAAACCATAAGACTGTATTTAAGATGATCTTGAATATTAATCTAAAATCCAATGTCCACGATGCTAGAAATCGGTCCAAGATCTGGGACAGAGAAAGAATTAACAAATCATCATATTTGAACAATTTGATCACATGACCAATGCGATTGGTCAATTCTTTCTTCATCCGAGATCTCGTTTAAGAACGAACTATGAATACCGCCTGTTATATTGGAACTGATCAATTGCATTTTGCTATTCAGCAGAAATGACCAATCACAGTCATTGACACTTAATCGACCAACTAATAAGTTAATCAAAGTTGGTGAGATTAATCTTTAAGACTAATGCGGCGCTCTGATTGGTTCGTGATTTCTTAGGGCGAACGTTGTCTTGAATATAAAAAACGGATTATGAATACCAGCCTGTTTCGTGTCGTGAAATTGATTGATCTTGTACAAGAAGTAGAACCATTATTCCATATAACAGGAAACAATAACACATTTTTTTACATTGTGTTTGCGACCCATTATTTTCTAATTTTGATGGCTGTTACATAATAATTATTTGCGTTGTCTAATTTACGCCAGTTCCATTTTCGGCCGCTAGGCGCGCTGGAGAGAATCTTTGCTAACTTTGCGTCACCAATATTAACATTTTTTCTTTACAAGTTCTGACAAGTTCATAGCAATTAGTGTTAGTCTCGCGAGATCATTTGAGTGGGTGGAATATGATTCCTCTCATTTCGGGTTGTGTCATCTTAATTATATTTTTGAAAAGCGTTGCCGGCTTTGACTGAGCCTTGCATTACACTACTTACAGTCCTACATTAGATACTGGCCGTATCGTGGCGTGTTGCCACAGGAGCCATTAACGAGGAAGAAGAAAAAGTTCATAGCAGACAAAGATATCCCAAAAATGACTGAATATATTGAATACTACAGGTTTCCACTAAATAGTATGTTATAAAATTTAATAAAATCTCATGATGTATTTACGAAAGAAGAAGATGAAATTGATAATGAATTTCATCGATTTCTTTAGATTATCAATTTGAGGCTGCCCGCCTGAAAAGTTTCCATACCTGGCCGCATCCATGGAAGAAGTCGGAAGAATTCGCAACGGCTGGATTTTTTTATACTGGTGAAAGCGACATAGTGAAATGTTTCGAGTGTGGTGGAGAATTATGGAAATGGAAAGTGGAAGACGATCCAATGGTTGATCATCAACGGTGATTAGGAAAATGTAGATTTATTCGTAAAATTCCATGCGGCAATGTGCCAATTAGTATAGATTCTAGCGCAATTCCAGCATCTGTGCCGGAAGGCGTGGATGAATGTGGAATTTATGTTCGGACAAACATCCCTAAATCCAGTTCAATCCATGGAGATCAAGAGAATTTTAGATCGAAAGAACTTGCATCAAAACCGAAGCATCCAGAATATGTCAATTATGCTGCTAGATTAGCGTCGTATGATAAATGGCCCAAAGCAATGTCACAAACTAAAGAAGAACTGGCAACTGCTGGTTTCTATTATTCTGGAAGTGGCGATGAAACATTATGCTATTACTGTGATGGAGGATTAATGGATTGGGAGCTATATGATGATCCTTGGATAGAACATGCCAAATGGTTCAACCGTTGTCCTTATTTGCTTGTAACTAAAGGATTAGAGTTTGTAAACAACATTAGGAAACCATATACTGAAACAGTAAGCTTTTAATGAAATTGAAATATCGTATTGTATCAAAATGATTAGTCAGTACTTTATGGGATTTAAATAGTAATATGATAATTTATTTATATGCTGAAATATGTGTTTATGTTGAATGTTATATAAAAATAAACAGGCACTTAATAAAGTAAAAGTAAAGACTAATAGTTGGTTCATTTGTAGATTATTATGTATATGAACATATATATTAGGTGTAGTAAAAAGAAATCCATTATTTTTGCATGAAATTGAATGGAAAAATAATGGATTTCTTTTTACTACACCTAATATATATATATATATATTTATATATGTACATTTATTTGCTTTTGCAAAGCACGAGCATTATTATTTTTTTTCAAATGAAATATTAGAATTATACAATTTGTACATTTGTGTAACAGTTTAATCTCTTTAAAAAATTATGAAATAAATGTGTTGAAAGACAATCAATCTTAAATTGTTTTTTAGGAAACCGGTGCATCTTCAGTTAATGAATTGGATAAGAGAGTGGAAAAAGATGATAGTGAGAGTATTGCTAGCGAAAGGACTCAAAATTCGCTTTCTGAAAAAACTATTGCAGAAACAAGTACTATATCAGGCAAAGCCAATCCTGAGGAACAATCTGTCCAAATACAGGTTGACAAACCACACAACAAAGATGCAACATTATGCAAAATTTGCTTTACTAGAGAATTACGTATTGCATTTATACCATGCGGACATTTATTGGCGTGTGCAGAATGTGCCAGTAATATGAAAATATGCGGTATATGTCGTAAGAATATTGAAATTGCTGTACAAGTGTACTTCACGTAGGGAGTGTCTTATCTTTGTAACACATTCCATATGAATTGTGCAGCAGAATTTTTTATCTATCATTATGAAAACTGGTAGGAGTTAACAAGAGCTTTTTAAAACAAAACTAAATCACACGATTCATGTAGCATGCAGTTCAACAAATACAATAACATCTGTTGATCTGCATGCTATATAAATGTGATTTAATTTTGCTTTGAAATGCCACAAAAAGCTCTTGTCAACTCCTTCCATCCTTCTTTCCTTCCTGCCTATTGTCCGTAATTGAGCGTTGTGACTTCTCTCATATGCCTGTGATGAACACTTTGATTGTACACAGTCATAAGGGACCTACAATTTAATGATTCCGAACGACAATTTTGTTTAAAGAAGTGTACATGGAAGGATATACTCTCCAGTGGTTTGTCATTGCCTGTCGAGAGGCGATACGAATGTTCGAAAAATTTTTCAGTTCCGAGAGCGATTCCATAACTGTTTTACATGTCTACCAACAGATATGTCATTACACAGCTTTTTTACCATCTAAAATATCTGTGCAACAATACCGACAACTATAGATGTGTAAAAACAGTTACAAAATCGCATCTCTGGAGTCGAACCCAGGATCTTTGGCACAGCAGTCTTATGCACTTCCTGCTACGCCACACTCGCATTCAAAGATTTAGACTACGGTTCACTTTATGCTATGAATGCTTTGAAGCATTTATAGTGTCAAATGAATCGCCCCCTAATGTTTGTGAAAATAATTGTTTTCCAAATAATCCGTAATAACTTTAAATATTACAAATAAATAATGCGTTATAATGCTTCATATTTTTTTCTCTTTCTTTCATGTATATCTTTTCATGAGATATACAGCAATATTAAGACAAATAAAAAAATAGAGTAAAAAACAGGCAAAAGTCTTAATATGCGGTAATTGGTGTGATTATCATATACAAAGTTATGTAATAGATACAATCGAAATATAAATGTATATGATAATTGCAATTACCAATTACTGCGTATTAACTTTTTATTTGTTTTAATATTTCAAGAGCCCAATTTGAATTATTAATTTGAGCAATATTCATGAAAAAAAAATCATACATTCCATTTTGAACATAATGTACCTGATATATATAATCATTTTAATCCTTTAATGCCCATTTTCACCAAAATAACTTAATTTCAGCTTACGTTACTTCGTTATTTCAGATTAACTTTCTACTAATCTCTGTTTAATTTTCTTTTTATCTTTTTCTAATCTTTAGAACTAAAAAAAACAAAAAGTATGTTAAACCGAGATTAAAGTTAAACTACTATCGGTGAAAATGGGCATTAGTGAACACAAAGATAAAATGATACTATCATGTGAAACGGAACGCATCCCAATACATTCTTGTGCATTTCAGTTGCACCAATGTCACTTTGACTTTAAGCGAGACTTAAAACTCTATTTGTCTCGTTTTAAAGCCAAAATGAGACAAAGAATTTTAAGCCTCGCTTAAAATAAAAGTAACGTTGATGTCGAATCGAGCCTAAATGAATAATAAACTAATAATACGGTATTAATTTCATAATTTATTAGTTTCATAGACATGTACATATGTTTAAAACTTAATAATACTCGATTTTTATTTAAAATTTATTTTAATGATATCATCTGAGTTTAATTTTCAATCAAATCAGAGATGATAATTGCAGAGGAAAAATTGTAATTTTTTGGCAATATATAAGATATTATATCATTAAAGTATGCATACTTATTTATACAGCTTTTATATAATAAAAAATCACGAATTTAATAATGTATCATCGAAATATTTATGTTAATAAAATTTTCATAAATTTTTATTAATTGTCGGTAACGTCATCGTTCTTCAATTATCTCCACATTCCATTGATAGTCACAAAAATTTGCCCAGGGCCGAGGGTCTTTAATAGTGCACACTCATTTATTGTGAAGTACATTCACACGTACACTAATCTATATACATTTATCTTTCGAGTGTAAATAGTGTTATAAAATGCAGCTCGAAAAAACAGATCGGCCGTATAACAATTTGTCCCTAATTTGCACACACTATTAAAAAGTCATTACAATATAAATACAATTATATAGTAAGACTATATGTAGAAGACTGTGACAAACATCATGACCGATTAATGGAATTTATGATCTCGAGCCTACGTCAAGGGCCAATTGTTGCTGTACTTTGACCCCTGACTTAATCAACGAGTTTTTTAAGACTGTTTTTTCGTCGATACTTTTTAGACTTATTTAGACTTTCAGTTTTATATACAATAATCATGTCGGATACCGTTAGTCCTATTAAATATTTCTTGAGTGGTGGATTTGGCGGAGTATGCACTGTGATAGCTGGCCATCCTCTGGATACCATAAAGGTAAGGTTATATTTTAATTGACTAGCTTATTAAAAATTGAGTGTAAAATTGACACATTGCTTCTCTTTTTCTTATCTACATTCTGTCTAAATATTGCAGTTTGCCTTCTACAAGAATCATGTGCGTTTTGTAAGACATTGCTCTATGTATTTAGGTACGGCTCCAGACGATGCCAGTTCCAGGACCCAACGAATTGCCTCTCTACACTGGTACATGGGATTGTGCTAAGAAAACAATTACGAAAGAAGGAATACGTGGTTTATATAAGGGTATTATATTTGTACTGAACATCACACGAATATCTTGTCAAGCTTTTTCCAATTCAATATTGAGATTATAAAGATATTTGTATAAAATCTTAAGTTATTGCTATAAACATATCGACATTTTGATAATTGTGTCAACTACATGAACTAGACTAGAATATTTTAGAATTTTTAAAACATTATGTAACATGATGTATAAATAGTATTCAAATAACACAACCAGGTCTATAGTTTTATTATAAGTAAAGTTATTATAAGTAAAGATATAATTAGTATCTTCATGAATTATTTATATCTCAGATATAAATATTATATTATTATATTATTATATTTTTGAAAGGAAATTATTAATTAGAATTGGATTTTGTTATCTGTTCAGGCATGGGTGCACCATTATCTGGCGTTGCTCCTATATTTGCGATAAGTTTCTTTGGCTACAGCATCGGAAAGAAGCTACAACAGAGTGTCTCAGATGAGAAACTCACTCCATTACAATTATTTTATGCTGGTGCATTTAGCGGCATATTCACGACTATTATAATGGCACCTGGTGAACGTATTAAATGTCTGTTGCAAATACAGCATGCAGATACGAAGCCAAAGTATAGTGGACCATTGGATTGCGCTAAACAATTGTATCAAGAAGGAGGCATCAGAAGTATCTATAAAGGCACCTATGCTACATTATTAAGAGGTATAATTCATACTTTGTTATATACAATTCTCAAAAATTATGTAATTTTTTATAAAATTATGTTTAAAGATGTTACACTGCCATATACCAAATAGAAATTTGCCAGAAGAATTAAAATGGAAATTTTCACGTTTATTATGTACCTTAAAAGGATTAAGTATATTTTTAGAAAAGGAAATAGGTTTTCAAAATTTTTAATGTATTTTTCTTTTATTAACTCTCTGTGTATATCGACAGATACATACAATTTGAAAAGAGAGATTAGCTAACTGATATTGTTATCCTCTTCAGAGTTTCTCGTCTTTAAAAATTTTCGAAGGTACCTTTTCCTCGGGCTTCTGCATTGTAAACCACCTTTGCGCAATGCATAGAAGACACCCCAATTCTGTAATCGTTTTGGCGTTGAACAACGTGGAGCTGTTTCCTTATTTCTATTTACCTAAAAATGGTATTGCTAATAATTTTTATATTATTAATATTTATTAATATATTTCCTGATATATATTAATTCTTCTCTATTTATTTCTCAATTAAGTCATTATAAATGGCTTTAAACAGTAAACATCAAATATGATATTGATAACTATAAATTACCAGATTAGGATTCCAATTGATCATGATACATGCACAATCCCAAGGATTATCGTCCAATCTTATATTTTGGACTCGCGTTTGTTTATTTGGCAATCTCAAATTTCTAAAAAAATCTAAAGGTAGCGAAGTTAATTTGTTCTTTGTAAGTATAATATCTCTCAATTCCTTCTGCTGTTGAGCAGTGAATAAACCAGGCGGTATAGATTCCAGATCGTTATTTGATAAGTCAATTCTCCTAACTTTTTCTAAACCATAGAAGGCATCCATAGAAATTTGTTGAATATGGCAATGACTTAAATCGAGATCCAATAAATTAGTAAGGTCGACAAACGCATCAAAATCGATGCTCGAGACGTTTCCTCGCATCTTAAGATGCGTCAATGATGGTAATCCTTGCATGATAAAACGTTCTAATAGAGGTATCTCTAGATTGTACAAGTGTAATATCTCAACTCGACGTAGACCTAATAACGAATTCTTCTGCAGTTTCAGTTTAGATGCCATACCTCCGAGATACAATTTTATTGTCGTATTCATAATCTCAAAAGTACTAAAATGAACATATGATAATTTTCTCAGATTTAATCATGGAAACAAACCACGTATAGTATTATTTATTACCTTGGAAAAATGGAATCCAGAGGATTGTCCGTAAAGTCAGCGCTCACGAGTGCAGGGAAAGGCGGAAACGATAACTCTGACAGGAACGTTAAATTATTTTGTCTTAAATCCAGATGTTCTAATAGAAGCAATCCTGCCAGGTCTACGCTTTTCAATGTCAGTAATTCGTTGCTTGCCAGTGAGAGGGATCTTAAATTTGGTGTGCCATAAAAGCAAAATTCAGGAATGAATTTCAGACCGTTTTTTTCTAGTGAGAGATAAAGAAGACTATTAAGGCCATCGAACATGTGCCAAGATATATCTTTCAGGTTACAATCATAAATTTTTAAATGCGTTAAAACACCAAGCGCAGCAAACAGTTCAACATTTTCTCTGTAGCCTTCCAATTCTTGCTTATAAATGTCATATGGCAGTATTTCTTTATCTTCGTTATTCTGTTGACTCAGAAAAATAAGTCTGTGACCTTTGTATTGACTGCTATTGCTTATAGACACCTGGTTTTCGTCGACTGTCTCCGTTTCCTGCGAATTCATCGGCTTGATTACCAAATTTGCTTTGTCTTTGTTTGGTAAATTTAAGTTCGACAATTTAACTCGTTCCAAATTTAGATATAGTAAAGTAGATCCTAGAGGATACATTGTATCAGATGCGAGAATAATGCCGCCTTTTTCTGTATGATTATTCATCTCTTTCATGGAGGAGTCGCTATAATCTATTCCTTGAATATCTAGCGATATCAATTCGTTGAATCGTTGAAATGTAGTAGCTTGTAGAAGAATATCGATATCTCCGCTACCCGATTCAAGTAATGTCAAAACCTGATAAAACACCAAGATGAGTTAATGTGAGGGGTATACAAACTTATGAAATTATATATGCTTCTTATGTCACCTGTATATCTGAAGGAAGTTTAGTCAAAAGTTCTTCAGGGTTGTCAACAATCACGCATGTTGCGATTTTCATCAGTTCATGAGTCATTGAATTGTCGTTTATATTAAGATCAGCACCATCGGAAGGTATATCCTGTTTGATTGAGAATGTATTAAAATTATGGAAGTGAATATTAGAAAGTGTAGTACACTGAAAGTGTTGATTGTCATTTACTCATACCTGATTATTATCTTTGTTTATGCCAGCCCATTGATGCAGAGACAGATCGGAATACTTTTGGATCTCACAGGTACATCCCTGCGGGCATTTAATCTCCCACACATCACCGATATCGATAACTTGTCCTATACACTGATCCTGAATACAACGCAATTTGAATCAATGATTTTATATTGTGATAGAATATTTCAAACTTATAAATTTCTTGTGATTTTTAATCTATCTTATAGCATTGAATTTTAGTTTGAGTAGTTATTTTATGTATTTTAATATATTAAGATTGATTCATAATTGGTTCTTATTTTGTCTTAAATATCTTAAGATGCATTAATGTGGTTCTCTAGTTCATGACATTATAAGATTGTACTTAAGACAGTTTTAAATATAAGAATTGACTATGAATGCTGATCTGTGATTGCCTAATGATATCTTAAAACTGTATTTAAGACGGTTTTTAAATATAAGGATTGATTATGAATACCGCCTGAATGTGTCGACACACGTCACGTATACAAAATAATTACATAGAAAACGAAGTTGAATTTATTAACGGAGCGCACGACAAGTGTTAAAATTTGTATGTACCAACGACAAGATGATGAAAAGCAAGATAACAAATGTCATGTTGTTTCACTTTATGATGATTTTGAATCGGAGCACGATACTCGGGACCAGCGGCAGCACACTGGCCCGAAGGAAACTGGATTTTGTTAACTGTTATCTATATGCTTTGATGTGCTTCCTATCAAACAGGATGCCTTCTATCTGCCAACCCACATGCTATCTACTTGCTATTATTAATTCTACATAATGTTTATATGCCATCTTTGGTTCGCACAAGGATACTTAAACGATTCCTAATTTACTATGCCTCCATGTTTTTTTTCAGATATTCCAGCCAGCGGAATGTATTTTTTAACATACGAATATCTAAAGGAACAATTTACTCCAGAGGATGGGAAACTTAGTTTACTGGCTACCATAACGGCTGGCGGTTTTGCAGGCATTGCGAACTGGTTGGTAGGAATGCCACCTGATATCCTGAAAAGTCGCTTACAGACTGGTACGTATATATCTCTAAGAGTTTCTTTCTTTTTTATCTTTCAAAATTCTGATTAAAACATATTAAAGTTATAATTAATGGATATAAATATGCAATGTAATATTTCTTATCATACATTATTATACAGCACCAGAAGGTACATATAAACAAGGAATACGCGAAGTATTTGTTAAATTGATGAAAAACGAGGGACCAATGGCGCTTTACAAGGGTGTCGTACCTGTTATGCTACGAGCTTTTCCTGCCAATGCGGCCTGTTTTATGGGCTTCGAAATTTGCATGAAATTCTTGAACTGGATCGCGCCAAATTTATAATTTAAATCAAACAATGTAATTATAGAATTTTTGAAAAATATTCTAGAGATCTGTTGCTCCGCTTATACTTCATATTCGATAGGTACAAAGTGATTAATTTTACCGCGACAAAATAAATTATATACAATAAAATAAAAATTTAAATAAGGCTAATGTAAGTCATACGCCGATGTAAAAAATAGGATAAGCAGATAATATTCAAGTGTTGATGATTATCTTCATTTATTCTATTTCGAAATAAATGAAGATAACCATCAACCTGTGTTTATATACATCTATTCTTGCCTCTAGCAACTTTATATATGTGTGTATATACCGAGAATATATGTCTCAAAATGATATATGTAAAATATTAGGACAATTTTGATTTTAATTTTGCCATGTATGTACGTAAGAAACAAATGAAAGTATAACATCAGGGTATAATATATTTGTGTATTCATTTGTAAAGCGTTTCAAATATATATTCAATGTTACGAACATATCATATATCATAATATTAATAATTGTTAAGTATGTATTGAAAAACTGCTCAACAGTCTCAATAGTATATGTGCAAATTTTAATATTACAAATTTATTCTGTATTATACAATTTGAATATAAAACTTTATTAACGTAACAGTATATACATTAGTTACATTCGTATATTGTACACTTTATCGTATATTAAGAAATGTACAATCAGGATTTTAATGGACTAATTTTACTTTTGTAATATATTTTATGTACAAGACTTTTTTGAGGAAGATCGTACACAAAAAATATGTGTGTGTGTGTGTGTGTGTGTGTGTGTGTATGACGAATGAAATATACATAAATGTAAGTAAATAATTATAGATAATTACTGGGAAAATGTATTAACGTACAAAATGTATTAACGTACAAAATAAAATTTTCTATTCTGTTAACTTATTTTTTTCATAACAATTTTTCTCATCCCTTCAAAAATTTTGTAATTTACTCATAAAAAGTCGCGTAATGTTATTTGATCGAACTATTGCATTGTCAGAATTATACATTCACAAAATATAAATTTTTATACAAATTATTTTTTCATAGAAAAAATATGATTAGCAGAGTTACGGGATGAAAGTAGAATTTTAAAAATCAAATAATTTTCAGATCTGAATAAAAAAAATAATATAATCAGATCTATATGTCTGATTCTATCCTCCTCTACTTCATTGAATTTATCCAATAAAAAATTCCCCTGAGTCTCTTCATGCGCGGATGTTGTCATTTATCATGATCATTTATCATAATTCAATAGCACGCTGTTCTATCAATTACCGTAACAGTAGTGATCACTCTTCCCAATCGTCCGTATCAGGTTGAGAGTCATATTCGCTGGTGGCGGAATTTCTATCCGACGCAGACGCTTCAGTCGGTTTCGGAGGAGGCGGTATTAAGCTCGACATTCTCTCCAGAGCTCCTACCGTAGAGCCGGCGATACCTTTGCGTCTTAACGCTAGTTTTGCATGTAGATCTGCCATCAGATCACCTCCTACCGAAGCCGAAGACCATCGATCACGCTTCTTTTCGTCCGGTACAGTAGGCCTCAATTTCGCTCTGCCTATTCCACCAGCGTCTCGTATCGCCGCCATCAAATTAGAACGATCATCCATTGTAGTTGTCATAGGCGGACGATTCGGTGTTTTATTCTTTTTCTCCGAACCATCATTTGACGTAGGCACGGTCGGTTCTGCAATCGGTGGTGGTGGCGGCGGTGGTGGTGGCGGCGGAGGTATCATAACTTGAAAACTGATTTTTTCATTGCTCACAGCACTATTTGCATTTGTGGTGACCGTAGGAGGTGGTGGAGGAGGCGGCGCAGGTGATGATGCAGTTGTCAAAGCTCCAGTTAAAACTGGCAAGTGTGGAGCACTATCTTCGGTCTTCGACTGAGAGTCTCTCTCGTCACTGATTGGCGTCGGTAGATCTAAACGAACAGTGGGCGTCGTGACCGCAGATGATGGTGCGATAGGGCTTTGGGAATTAAGATCGAGCACAAATTTCTCATCATCCACAATGCCTGGTAAATCTGGGAGTGTTAGCGGTACATTTATTTGAGGAACCTAAAAATACATAAGAATCTTCTGTAAGAATAAATCGTAGAATCGTAAATTTAAAAAACAAGTATAAATGTTTTCAAATTGACATAAATTATATTGTTAAATGAGTTAATGTATTATATGAAAATCTGACCTCTCCAAGAGTCGGAGTATACAAATAGCTGGAAGACGCATCCATTTCTGACGAAAGCCACGGTTGTACAATTGAATCTGGAGCATCCTCAATTTGCTGCTTGTTGACAGACTGACGTGATGATCGCATGGACGTTTTTTCGTACGGACTATCCATGCTATCGAATAGTAGGAGGGCACTAACTGAGGATAATTGTGGTGGGAATGGTTCTACATCATTCTCAAGGTTATCTTTTTTGCCAGCCTTTGATCGTACGTGATAAAATTGGAGCTTTTCTTGGAGGCTGACATTCGCGGCATATTGACCGTCCTCAGTTTTGCAATTAGAAGATAAATATGCTTCGGGGATATCCTTTATAGGCACAGAACATTTGTAAATGCTTGGTATAGCAGCGATATGCTCGCGCTGTGACGGTATAGTCATTTGATACTCCTTGTAAGTGTGATTAGCCGGATATTTAGCAGCAGAATACATTTTTACCGCTTTCAGGTTTAAATTAGTTTGTAAATAGTGCAATCTGTCCTCCAACTTCATAGCTCTCTCTTTAATGTTGGTCAATCTAAAGACAAATTTATTCTTTAGTAAATATTATTATTGGATCAATCAAATGTATAATTAAGCAAGGCAATCGAATACAACAGTCACATTAAAAATCAAGAGATATTTTTTTAATTCTACCTTTGTGTATTCTCCGAAAGCCTCCTATCAATGCAATCAAATATATATGAGACAGCATCGCCTAGATTGTCTAGAGCTTCTGCTATTTGAACTATAGTTTCTTCGTGTCTCAAATTACTTGGAATAATACCTGAAATTGGCAGAAACCAAATAAAAAACAATATAAAAAACAATATAATAAAATGTATAATAATACAAATACTATGTATATGTAAAATATATATTATTGTATACATATTTTATATGTATGCATTAATGTGTCGCAAGATAAATAATCGAATTTAATTAAATATAAATATACAATTCTATAATTATAAACATTTACACATTATTTTTAACGAAAATATTTTCAATTCAAGAAAGTCATTTAGCACATTTAGATATATAGGCTTTAATTATTTTAATTTTTTCTTCGTCCTCGATATGAAATTATACACCATCCTGAGTCCTTTTATCTCCTCCTTTCTCAACCTAACTCCAGATACAGCCGGCATATTTTTTAAAATAATCCTTTTATGATTTTCTAAATTCTGGGATCTCACTCTAAAGAATGAAAATTGAGCCAGAAGATTCGAAAGAGTGACATTCACTCCCAAAATTTTAGAGAATAGGTTATGTTGCATCATATAAATAAAGCGAACGTGCGGATTTGTACGTCGTGAACGGGAAGTACCACAAAAGTCGGGATTCCACGTACCAATCTCGATTCGTTCTGGCATCTTGGTCCCGGCGGAAGAATCACAAAGATAACCGTCTCACAAGACAATAATGCACATCATGGACAATAATGCATATCATGGAACGTCAACTTGCGAAGTGCCGACGTGTCCTGAATTATGACACGCGAATACGCGGATTACGTTAACTCCTTGGCTATCTCAGCTGTACTCTGCATGACATTAAATGACATCCGCCTCAGATCATATTTCTTAAATTCGACGACGAACTGTCACTATAAGCATGATGGAAAATTTAATTAGCTAGCTGATTGCTCTGAAATCTAAATTACTGTTTGTCTTACCCATGCCATGCGCCATGATGTAAACAAGAGTTTCATTGCGCACGATGATGGTGATTGAATAATCAAAATTTAGCCTCAAATGCTCAGCTGCGCAATACTACAATACATGATAGGTTTCCAAAATTAATGACTCGTGAGTAAAAGAAAAATACTTGCTGTATGCAAGAAACATAAAGAAAACTCTAGTGACAAAAATTATATATATATATATATCTCATATTTTTAAAAAATATTTTTTCAATTTTAAATTTATGAAGATTTCTAATAGACTATTCTTTAAATTTTCTCAAGTTTTATAATAAGTTTTCTTCGGAATGTTCAAGTTATGGAATAAAAAAATAGAAGACTTTAGAATTTATTTTATATTCGATTTATATTCACGTATACAAATTTTATAAAATCTAAAGTGTTTTAATTCATGTAAAAAAATTTGAGAATTTTATAAAAGTTATATAAATTGTGAAAAATTTTGAAATTTATTTTTTTAATGTAGAAATTCTGAAAAATTATCTGAAAAATTCCAAGAAAATTTTCATCAGGAAAGTACTTGATTTGCATATATGTATTATTAGTAAACTCACTTTCAATTTTGCATTCTTTTAAATATTTCAAATACATAGAGCATTGCAGATTTTTTGTTCTTATTTGGAGCGATATCAGAGTTTTAGGATTATCGGATATAAATAAAATGTAAAGGAGCAGCGAAATATGTAAATAAATACAATGAATATATCATCAACTTATCATGTTAAAATTAAAACAATATATAGTTACATTATACATATACATTTTTTCGAGCATTGTAAATTTTTTTCTTGGCTTAGCGTTTAGGATCACGATAAGAGACATTTACAAGAACATAAAAACTTTATTGTGGTCCATAATATCAGGTATAGCAGTTACACTTACGGAGAATTAAATATCTAAATGTTTAACGTTAATAAGATGAAAGATCACGAGAATATACGATGCATAATTCCAGTAAATAACTTGTCCGCCAATATGCCAGCAAATTGGTAACAAATTCGATGAAAAATTGCTAGCAAATTGGTATCGATTGTATCCACATTAAGCTCGTGTTTCGCCGGCTGAGCCTGCTGACGTAATGTGATAGCAAATTGGCGGTAGAAATCGAATAGAATCTATCAAATATAGATTCTACTCTATTTCTGTGACGAACTGTGTAAGAAGTATGAAAATTTACTTGATTTCTGTGTCAATTTGTCATTATATTTCATTGAGAAATTTTGCTAGATATTTCTGCATTTTGCCACTACTATTATATATATATAT